CTTATAGCACCTTCCAGTGCCTGAAGGGGCTGCAAGGAAGCTGGGGGGGACTTTTTACAAGGGCCTGTAGTGACAGGACAAGGGGTAACAGGTTTAAATTGAAAGTGGGGAGGTTTAGATTGGATATCAGGAAAAAATTCTTCCCTAGAGGGTGGGGAGGCACTGGGACAGGTTTCCCAGAGAAGCTGTGGATGCCCCATCCCTGGAAGTGTTCAAGGCCAGGCTGGATGAGGCTTTGAGCAACCTGGTCTAGTGGAAGGTGTCCCTGCCCATGGCAGGGGGGTTGGAACTGGATGGTCTTGAAGGTCCCCTTCAACCCAAACTGTTCTATGGTTCCATGATAATCACTGCACAGATACACCAATTTTCTCAGCCAAGGGACCATGGGGGGGAAGAATTTCTCAACAATACCGCATATAATATCCTGTGAAGTGGAAGCTGCCTTGATGCAGAGTCTCTACAATGCTGTTAGGACTATTATTTTAGCAACAACTTTTTTTTACTCACTCCTTAATAAATAAATCCATGAAAGTAAAACCATATAATTAGTTGTTGTTGTTTCCAGCACAGACTTTGAGGTCATTACTTATCTTCACTTTCCCATCAGTACCACATGAGGTGTACAAGCTCCTGGCCAACAGAGACATAAAAAGCAATCCATTTCTTCCTGTTTCTCCAATAATGCATAAAAACCACTTGCAGCAAATTAACAATTATTTATCTGGTGTGAAAAACAAGACTGAAAATGTAATAGAGCAGGTTTTTCACCACGACTGAAACATACTAGAGTGACTAAAACTACATTAGAGATCTAAGTCTGGTTCTTAACGTTTTTTCCTGAAAAAAAAATATTTAAAAGATACAAAAGGGTTTGTTGCAGTTTTCTTACTGGAGGTAGGCAAAACCATTACATCACAATTTTGCATTCCACCACCAAAGTCGATTAAGACATTAAAAGGGTAGATACTGGGGCTACTGAGCAGGTGGTCAGGCATTCAGCCGCATTTAACACTTGCAGAAACATGAAGGTGTTAGATATCAGGATATTAGATATATAGATATTAGATATATAGGTATTAGATATATAGATAT